GGTCTTGGGCTACCCACGGGACCATAAAGGAACCAAAAAACTGCCAGCCCCCCCCCCCCCCCACTAGCCACAGTTGAAACTGGTTAAGCTTGCTGTTGTGAGACTGAAGCCCTGAGTCTTTCACTGACCTGGTCAAGCATCTCATGTGGACGTAGGCCCGGCCACGTATCAAGAGGTCGTCAGCCCCCCCCAAGTGGGGGACTGCTCTCCATTCTCCTGTGGTGCTTGGGGGGGCCCTGGGGCCCAGCCTTCAGCGTCTGTCCAGTGGGGGTGGCACGGGGGCTGAGAGAGGCTTGTGAGGAACAGCCTTGGCACCTGTTTCCCTAGTCGGGCGCTGTTGGGCTTGGCTTGGATGGATTCGGTTCCTGAGGCACTTTTGCTAGATTTGGGAAGTTGCCCCTGTGGATTTAGTCTCGTGGGCTCAAACGCAGGCAAGAATTTAAATTGCTTTTAAATCTACAAGGCGGCCAGATCAGCTACCCCTGCTCTTGCAGGCATAACTGGATGAAGAGCCCTCTTAATGGAGGGTAAGGAAACAGTTAAGAAGGTCTGGCCCAGGAAAGCCGAAGGGAGCCGGAGCCGGAGCCGGCCCAGAACTTGGCAGAGCAGCAGAGCCCCATCAGAGGGAATTACAGAGCCTGACAAAGGCTGGAGCTTCCGCAGACCAGCCGGGATCCCCTCAGCAGCCCAACAGTCAGGTCCTTCCTGCGGCATCAAGCAGGAGCCAAGCCAGGCGACGCTTTGCACAGAGCCATTTCGCGCCCTGGGTAGAGAAGATCCGCCCGGGGCCCAGAGGCCTTTCAGAGCAAGGCAGCAGGCCCTCGTGCACAGGTGCCTCTGCCCCGTGGGAAAACGATGGTGGCATTGCCAGATGCCCCAGCCCCACTCCCATCCCCCGGGAGGGGCCCCAGGGGTGCTGGAAGACATCCGGGGCTGCGCTGCAAGAGGATGAAGGAGGAGGGGGGCATTCCCTTGGGGCCTGTTGGAAGGGACAGAACAGGGAAATGGTTGCGCCCAGACTTCAAACGCTGCACGTTGACCTTGCATTCCTGCATGAGATGGCATGGAACCTTGCATCGTGCCATGATATCATGTGTCCCCTTACCCCGTGTGCCTGGGTGAAGTGCCAGGCAGGAAAGGCCCTCGGAACAGGCCACGCAGACAGAAAACTTTCTTTGGGGAGACCTCAGCCCTGCCGAATGACCGCTTCCACAGGAAGGGCTCTTGCCCCAAATGAAGAAACGGCGTTGGCTCCCACATGACCGGGAGGCAGTGGCTCTCAGGGGGACGGGTCCAGGAGCCCTGGGGGGAGTGAAAGAGCACTGCCATCACAGGGAAGGAGTGCCATGCACGAGGGGAGGCACGCCCTCCATTCTCCTAGAGCTCAGATCTGCTGGGGAGGTGTGGAGGGCGGGGCGTGCAACCTTTTGGGCAGGAGCTGCAGCCGGAGCCTCTTCCGCGTGGCTCTCCTCCCTGGCGCAAGGGTGCCCTCCGCTGTCCAAAACACCTGCTTTGCAGGCAGGGCTGGCATCAGCTGGAGCCGCCCTCCTAGTGGTGAACTGCAGCTCAGGCCTTGTCCCCAGTGGCCATAGGGATCCTGTGGGCATGAAGCAGCAAGCCCTCAGCCGAGCTCTCTGGTTCCTGGGCCTAGTAGGGAGGCATTCAACTGTAGCACCCCTTTTCTCCAGGAACGAGCTACCTCCCTCCTCCCATTTTTCTCAAAAACAACAACTCTGTGAGGTAGGCAGGGCTGAGAGAGGAAACTTCCATGGCTGAAGGTGTGCTCGAAATGGGGCCTCCCTTGGTTCTGCTCCGGTGACTCTGCTGCCAACCCACCTCGGCTGAGGCAGCAACGCTGTGCCCACCTGGGGTGATCTGGAACAGCCAAGCAAGGCTGGCTATCCAGGGCGGGGGGGGGGAGGCATGAGGAAGTGCCTGGTGTTGGACAAGGGAGAGCTTCGCGGGGGGGAGGCTGCTTGAATGTTGCCCCAAGGGAAACCCAGGGTGTGGAGCTTGATGCCCGAGGGGACCAGCCTTTTGGGGCCCCAGCGTCAGGGCTCCTCGCGGCTCAGCAGCAGCTGGCCTTCCATACCCGTCTGGACTTCAGCCTGTCCCGGCTCAGGAAGGAGAAGAGCAGCTCAGACCTTCCTGCTGGAAGGCCAATGTTCTGCACAGCCCTTGGACATGGCCGAGGGGGAGGGAGGAGGGGCACTGCTTGTTCCCCAGGTCTTGGGGAAGCCACCCCAAGCAAACCGTCATCCGAGGCCTCTTCTTCCTCAGTGTGGCTCTCCTGACAAAGTCCATCTCCCCTTCGCTCGTCCTTGCCTGTGGGGATTCTGCAGGCAGAGGAAAGGGGCACCTAATCAGCTGTGAGTGCCCAGTCTAGGGTGGCACAGCAGGGACAGCGCCTTGACGGGATTCCCTGGGCACAGGAGCTGTGAAGTCAGATCAGGATCCCAGGAGAGCCCAGCTGCAGACCCCAGACTGCTGCTTCTGGACATTCTGCTGCTTCGGCTGCCCGCTCGCCCCAGGGAGGAACCCCCCCCCGCCTCCCCTTCCCAGGCCTGCCACAGAGGCCATCCCACCCCCCTCTTCTCCATGGCTTGGACCATCCCAATGCGCTTTCCCTCCCTCCCTTGTAAAGGTCTGCGTTCCTGGCTGCTGTAATTTGCTGATGACACATATCCCCAGCAGTAAATATTGCTGCCTCCCTTCCCTCAGGCAGATAAGGGGGCAATCCAGTTAGTAACTCTTCAGCAGTCCTAAAAGCCTTTTGTGTCCCAGCAATTATTTACAGATAAACAGAAGAAAGCCAATAAGCCAGGAATGAGGCCGCGCTCGCTCCGCAGTATAAGTGATGAGGGGGGCGATGCTATCGCAGCCCCCACGCAGTGGGATGGGAGTCGCTGGAGCGGCTGGTGACAAGGGGGCTGTTGTGCCATGGCTAGGCTGCAAAGCCGGCAGCCTGGCCACTCTACCACCAAGCCCAGCGGGGCTGCAGGGAAAGGGCACAGCCCCCAGGAGGGCGTCCAGGGTGCTGCTGCTCTTGCAGAGCCTTAATTGGACACAAAGGGGCTGCAGGGGCCCTCACTGGGGCTGCTCTTTCTGGTCCGCCCAGCTCACCAACGTGCCTTGTGATGGGATCCCCTTGGCATCCGAGAGCCTCGGCCTGCCTGGTGGCCGGCCGGCCATTCTGCCCTCCTGAGTGGCCAGCACCGAATCTCCAAGAGGCCCTGAGAGGTCATAGGCTGCTTTAGCCCCATCCCACCTTCCCAGACTCAGTGGCCGCTCTGCAGGGAGTGTCAGCTGTGGTGGCGCCCAGGGCTGCTCCAGAGCACCTCTGCCCAGCCGGGCCAGTTCAGGAGCTTCAGGGGACAAAAGAAGACTCCCCAAGCTGTGCTCTGCTCTCCACAGGCTCATTTCCGGATGGCTGGAGCAGCTGGGAGGACATGGGCCACAGCAGCCCTCCTGTTTCCCAAATGATGGCGGATTCAGTCTCGGCAAATCCCTACCCTCTTCATGAGCTGGAGAGAGCTGGAGACCTTCAAACAACCATGCTGGGCTCTCCTGGATGAGCCGCAGTCCTATTTTCCCAAAGCAAAGAATCCTCTTTCCATTATGGGCGATGGTGTCCTTGTTGATCAGAAATCACCTTGAGCCAAGCGTGCTGTGCAGCTGTTAGAAAGGCCAGTATGATCTTGGGGTGCATTGATGGGAAAAGAGAATCCCCTTTGCTCCTTCTTTGAAGGAAGGGGCACTGTTTGCCCTCCTCCAGTCTTCTGGGGCCTCTCCAGTCCCCAAGGAGTTCTCAGAGATGAGCGTGTGGTCACCTCCCCCTTCAGCACCCTGGGGGGTGAACATCTGGGCCTGGAGACTTGACTTTCTTCCTGAGGTCAAACTCTCCCTGACTGCCAGTTCAGTGGTTATCCCTTTCCTGAGTCCACCTGGCACCCCGCAGAGGGTGTGGGTGCGCGCCTGTGTCAGATGCCGCCTTTCTTGCGTTATTCATTCCTGAGAAAGCTGGCAAATTCTTCTCAGCCATGGAGGCCTCCAGCTTTGGAGGCTGAGCATTACCCCGGGTGGGCCGGGGTGGGGCCCTTTCTGGGTGTGCCAGCGGTGACTGGAACAGAAGCTGGGAGGGCTTTGCCTGGTGAGTGTTGAGCTGCACCTGCCAGAACACCCGCCTCAAAAGGGCTCCTGGGCAGCCTTGTCCTCCCTGCCCTTGATCAGGACGTGGAGGAGGCGGCGGCGGTGGCGGTGGAGGAAGGTCGCTGCAGACACGGCAGCAGCGGCAGCAGCAGCAGCGGCGGCTTTCCATGGCCTCTCTCGAGCCCCAACCGTGCAGGGAGTCTGAAGGCCCTCCTGTGGGTCGGGAAGCTTCTGGCCCAGGCGAGGGGAGCCAGCAGGCGCCAGCTTCTCCCGTAACATCTCGCCCCTTCCTACGGCCCCTGGAGCAGCAAGAGCTGGGGGTTCGGAAGGTGAAGGGCTGCACTGGGACAGCCTCAGAGGCGAGAGCTGGGCTGGATGTCCCCAGCTGGCATGGTGCTGCAGGAGCAGGCAAAGGGGGCTGATGGGGGCGGGGTAGGATTTCCATGGGAAGAAGCAGAGTGATTTGCTTTGTTAGCCTTTGAATGGAGCAGGAGAGCCCTACATATTTGTCCTAAAGGTATAAACATCTGCTTTAGAAAAGTCTAGTTCTTGTGATCTCCTCCAGATGTGAGGCCAGGTGCAAGCCAGTCTGCTTTGCGTAGTGCTGTTCCACAGCCAGGCGGCAGGTCCATGCCAAGGGTTCCCCTTTTTTGCGAAGAGGCCACTGTGGGCTGCCACACGAGGAGCAGGCCCTTCCCTGACATTGCAGTCTCCTCTCCAGCCATTCCCTGAAACGTGCACGGGGGAGTTTTGCACACCTCTTTTATTTGCATCGGAGTTCTGAAACTACAGAACATGCCAAGGTCATGTCACCGCTGAGCTCTCTTCCATAACGTTTTCATTCCCGTGCTTTGTAATAATGAAAGAAGCTGTTATTTACAACCAAACATTTAATAACACGGCACTCGTGAGGTCAGCTAAGGCTGATCAGTGCGTAAAGAGGTTGTCCCTTGGGAGCAACAGTTCAGACATCATCTGCTCGGAGGCTGGCGACTGCTTCATCCTTCTACGCTCTTTCCCCACAACTGAGGAGCAATGGAGGCACTCGGAACACTTGTTTGCAGGTAGATCCACCTCTCCTTCCTGGCCCAGGACAAAACAGGTGGAGGCAGCCATATAGAAAGCTGCGCAGAGGTGACCCAGTGCCGAAGACGCACACGACACATTGGTAGGAGCGAAGCAACATGAGAGGCAAGAATCAGATATGGAGATGTGGCTATTCTTTGTTGGAGTCTTTCTTCCTAAGTGGATCGCCCCCATTAGGAGAAGGAACAAACCGTAGGGAGGCCGGGCACGGGGCTGATGATTAAAGGGCTGTGATATCTGCAGAATGCTTGAGAGAATGCGTACACACACGTGTCGGAGCAGCTGAGGCCACCAGAAAAGTCCACCATCTTTTGTACGGATCAGTGAATCTTCTGTTTTCCTCCTCTCTTCTTGCCAACGTGTTCGTTTTGTTTCCTAGAGTCTCCCAAAGGTGCAGTCTGCAGAAATAAAGGCATTACAGCACCTTAACGATGAACATGTTTATTAATGTCCACTTCATCACATGCATGGAATACTCTTCCAAGATGTGGTGTGTGAGGCTCGTAAATCGTGACCAGAGGACAAGGAGAATGCTGGATTTGACTCGGGATGCTCCAGGGGGCCAAGAGACCGAGGAGCACACGGGGAGTGGCCCGAACCCTCGTGCGAGGAGGGAGCCAGGCGGCCTGCTGCGCTTTCCATCGAGGTTCCTTCGGGCAGCAGAGCGCCCTGGGAAGCTGCCGGGCCCCCACGCCTTCTGCAGTCCGACGCACTCCCAGCATTTCCTTGCGGAGAGGCGGGCCCACTCGTTCCAGCCAGGCCCTTGAGAGGCGCTGCTGGACGGGGCGGCGGGCCAGGCTGCCGATGCTGCTGCTTTTGCCCGGGGGGGGGGTGGGCTCTGTGGGGGGCAAGGTGGGGCCGCCTCCTTTCCCCGGTCTCA